GACTGCTGTAGCTGAACCCAGGACAAGCCTACTATGAATTTTAGAAGGGTCTGAAGGAGTTTGAAGTCTGCAGGGTCAGGCAAGGTGGGCCTTGCTGTCCTGCTGATCTTATGTTTAACATCATTCAAGTAAGTGACTTTTCTACTTCAGACAAGAACTTGTAACAATGAGCTTGCCTGTGATCTGGGATATCTGTTACATGTGGCAGTGTTTGAAATGATGCTGTACTTGTCAAAAAGATGCAGAAAGGGGAGCTGTAGATTACTTAAAGAATAATTTTTCAGTAGCTCAGATGGGAAAGATCCACCTGGGTTCTTATGGCCAGTGTTCTCCAATTGCAGACAATCTCATAGCAGTTAAGGTCCTTCTTTGGCAAGCTGGTCATAGATGTGGTTCAGTTTGCTAAAGATGTATTGAATGGCTTTTGCTTTGTAGTTTTGTATCATAGGTCTGTCTTTCTTCATTAAGAAGTTTATTTTCTGCCTGTTCCTTCTCATGATGTCAAGGAATCTAAATAAACTTCACATGTATGTCTCCAACAACATAGATACACATTTAAGATAAGAAGTACCTACTCTCACAAAATAAAAAAAATGCTCTAACGATGATATTTTCTTTTGGGGGGACAGTCGTGTATTTTATAAAGAAAATTGCTTTTCATCTCTGCTTTTGCTCAGCTATCATCAGGAACATAATGAGATGAATTAGACAAGGCAAACTTATTAATGGCTTTTGCCCTGTATTCATTTACAAAGTACATATGTGGCTGCAAGGGCCTTAGTTTAAAAAACAAAAAAAGCTCTTCTAGGATATTTCCAACCCAGGCATTCATAACTGGTATATTCATTTTGTCACTTTTGAGCCTTTAGGATTCAAGGTAGTATTTCAAATTTCCTCCATCTGTCCATGGATGCTGCAAACTTGTTTTGTGTGAGATTCTCATATACCTGAATCCAGGATTTAAGCTTTATTAAATACTTTCTTACTTGTCCGTCACCTTCTCCCTTCTGTCCTCAAAGATAATATGAAATTTCAGATAAAGTAGAAGATTTGGCACTCCTGTTGCTGCTTTATAATTTGTGATGAAAGTAGATGGTCACAACAGTGGGAGGGGTTTTGTTTCCTGGAAATGTCAGAATTTTTTGCTTCAGAAATAGGATGGATGCCTTGGAATAGCAAAAAGCAGGGCAAGCTTGGGAAGTGTTTGTCTCTCTCCCTGTAGGGCAGAGGAGGAGCTTTGAGTGCTGCAGGTGAAGGAGCTGGGATGCAAGCCAGCTTCTGTTTTTATCTTGAGTGTAGGACTACAAGTCTACAGGTCTACAAGTGTGAGCCAGCAGTGTGAGTGCACCTGCTAGGGCTAACTACCTCTCCACCTCAAAAATGCATTCTTGGCCTTACAACATGGATTTGTTGATATTACATCATTTTCCTTTTGTTCAAAATGAAATAAACAGCAACCTGAGTCCAGGTTCCTTACTCATAAACTCATTTTCTTTTCTTGTCCAAATTTTCTGTATGTGAAACCCTTGGATCCAGTCCTTGCACATGCTCAGATTGAATATGAGGATATCAGCCACTGATAGTGTTTTTATTTCTTCAGTTCAGCCACAGCTCTGCTGGTATTAACCAGAGCTGTGTGATCTGATACTGTGATTAGCTTCTGGCCATGCAGTAGGAATATTTGATCAATTTGGGAAGAACATGGTCCCACCCCTGTGTCTAGAGTATAAGCTAATTTCATTTACTGGAATGTCCTGCTGTTCACTGGCAGTTTAACCAGAGAATTAGGCACACTATCACTGCTGAGAGAGTGGAGATCTGCCCAGATTCCTTATGGTGTTAAATATTCACTCCCTGGCAATGAGCTTGGCTGAACCTTATCTCCAGTGAAGAACACAGCAGCTTCAGGACATACAACCCAGCTGGGTACCCATGAGAGGGCAGCATGTGGTAGCTGGGAGAGGCTTGAACAATATGTGTTGCATTAATGCAGGAGGCATGCCTGAAAACATCCCTGCTGCCTTGAATTTGGCACTTTTGGCAGTGCAAGGGTTGGATTTCTCAGGTCTTTGTGAGCTGAGAACTCACAAAGGGCAGTTTCCATCTTGCCAGGGCTGTCTGCCTGTGGTGTTTTTGTCAGTGTAAATTTGACCCATTACCTCCTGCAAGCTCATTTCTTTTGCAGCCTGTAGGTAAGCTGCAGTACAGATATCCCTCCTGCCTAGTGATATGGCTGCAAGCTCTGGCTGGCAGTGGGAAATGGGACTCGGGGCAGTGTTTGCACTGGAAATTCTTTCACGTGGTTTATGGTAGCAGTTGTTGCTGGGAAGAGCCTGTCAGCCAGATGCTGAGTGCTGCAGGTTCCACGACTGCTCTCAAAACTTAAGTTATTGATGATTATTCTTTAGAACACAGTTCATGAAAGAAGATTTCTGTGCAAGTTTCCCGTTTCATTTTCAGGGTACGTATATTTGGCCAAGTAACTCTAAGGAATGAGAAATCAGACACCACTCACCCCCGAAGTCTATACCTAAAATTTTACATTCATGTTTGAATTCACATTTTTGGGTGGGATGGAGGTTTAGTAAAGCTAAGTTTTGCCAGAACAAAAACCACAAAGCACAGTTGTAGCTACTAAGCAAATTGTATGTGCACAAATGGGAAGACATTGGGCCCAAATTGGTTCTCATTTTTAGAAACTGCCTGCTGGCCAAGCGCTGGGAAGTTTTCCTGTTGCTGGTGGTAAAGGTAAATCTGCTGCCCTTTTCATAGTCAGCAACTAGAAGCAACAAATTTAGAGGAGCTAAGAGTGTGAGGCAAGGGAAAGGGAAGCTGAAATGCTGACATAAGGGCAAGTTTTTTCTCAACAAGGGCAGCATGTTTGCATCCAGCCATACCATTACTGAAAGCTGCACAGGCAGTAAGTGCTGCATCTATCACATACCAAAATATCAAAATCACACAGGATTAGAAGTCAGTTCCAGTTCATTTACTGGGTAGCCAGCGAAGAACTTGAAGACTAGGATGTAGTTTTAATTACACTTCTTTTTACAGGTTTCCAAAATTCTGCTGAATCTCTTTTCTTATACTGAAGAATGTTCAGAGGAAAGTGTTTCTCTCCCACAGACTGTTCCAGCATATTAAAATGGCAAAGTCTGGCTTCTATCCTTAGAAGCCTTTTAAGTCAGTCTGACATTGTTCTCACAAGTGCTGTTGTTTGGCCAGCTGAAAGGCTACCATATACTGTTGCATGCTACTTGTTGAGAGTAAAAGAGAACAGCAAAGAAAGAGGGTAGTTGTCATAGATATCAGGTTAACTGTGTCTTCATTTGCAAATTTAAATCAGTTATGTTAAATGCATATTGGAACCTGGATTAAAAATGTATTGCATGTGTATTTTACTGCATTTAACCAGTTGCAGGTTGCCATTTTGCTTGTCCATAAAAATGCCTCTTGCTTTCCCCACAAGTGAGTTCCACATTTGTGTCAGGGCTTTTAAGAATTTACTTGTTTGCTTCAGTGCAGAAACTATTACATGGCTTTGAATTCTTGTTAGCACTGGGCATCCAGCACATCCAAGAAAGGAAGAGTTGGATCTGTTTTTTCTTAGGCAGCATCAACAGATTTGTTTATGAAATTTCAGCCTGTTACTCCTGTGGAAATCAGTGGAAAGTTTTCAGGATGGCACAGGTTGTTGCTTGAGCATAACTGGTCCTGCCAAACCCTGTTGATGACATGCGGGAGGGAAGGAAGGAAGGAACCTCACCAGATACTCAGGGTATATTTAGGTGGTGAACAAACATCCTGCTCAAAATGCATCTGTGTGGCTGGAGGAAGTGACTGCCAGAAGACTGTCCTTAACTGCTTTTCACCCTCTGAAACCTGCTGGTGGAGAGATCCATGGTCACATTCCCTGCCCTGCTTTTGCTTGCGTTGAGCTCACCTAGTTTAAAGAGACTGGTTGGTGGGCATTTGCTGTGTTGGCTCGTTTTCCTTGAGGAGGGCAAGGTCTGATCCCACGAGCAGCTCCCTTGGATGGAGAAGAGTCATATGGAGGGTGGTGACACATGTCCTCAAACCATTGCGGTTGTTCTTTGGTTGGAGTTTGCCTCCCCCCAGTCCTCCCCTGCATCCGGGAGGAGTGATGTGCAATGCCATAGGTAGCTGTGAAAACTGAATGCCTTGGGAAGGGGTTTAAGCCCTGCCACTTTCAGAGCAGAGTCCCTGAGGGAGCAGGTCTTTATTGATCATTGAGTAGATTTGATGGGGAATTCTGCGAAATGAAAGCCAGAGCTCCAGGAGCATTGTGTTTACCACCACCTTTAGCACAAGTCTCTAAATTAGATTTACTGTTATTGCATGTGCCAGTCCTGGAAAATCAAATTATTTGGTATGTTTCTTTTTATAGCTCAAGGATAAATCTCACTTCTAGCATAAGCAGGTGTAATTTCATTGAAGTGAAGGCAGTTGCACTTCTGTCTGAATTTTTGGATTTGGCTCTAAGTCTTTGCTGCCTTTTAGAGACTTGCTTTCACTGTTGCTCAGAGTCATGCTGTGAAAGCATTGTACTGGTTTTGGAAAACTGGAAGGAGAAGAAGCCCTGCGCACTTCAGCTTTCCCCGAAAGATTGCTTCTGTCACAGCAGATTAATCTTGGAAGTTTACAGGCTAGAAACACAACGCATAGCGGCGGCGATTTGTTCAAGGGGGAGGAGAGGCGCCTCTTCTGCAGGTCAGAGCGCGGGGAGCGGGCAAATAGTAAAAGCCATGGGAAGGGAGGAGAAGACACACCCCTGACGGAGCGGTGCCTTCCAGGGAGAAAGCAGCACCCACTGTCTCACAGCTGGAGCCGGCGAACACAAGCGTGCACAGTCCGTGAGGAGAGTGGGAGCTGACATGATGTGCTTCAACTCAATGCAAAATGAATGAGCTGCTGTTCTCGGGGGCTTTTCCGCCCCCGTCATTGAAGTGCAAGTCGTTGAAGTGCAAGTACGCGGCTGCATCAAGTGCACTTTGCATCATCTGGTGCCTAGTTACATGCTGACGGGGACCAGGCAGAGCACTGAGTTGGGTGCTTGTGTATGACGTGCTTGGCATTAAATTCGTGTTTGCTGCAACAAAAAGGTAAGAAACTTAAAAAGTGACAAGAGAAAACCGTCAGCCTCCCCCCCAGACTGCAGTCTCACGTTAGGAATACCCTTTGTCTCGAGCTGTATTTTCAAAGCTATAGTCCATTAGTCTAAAGCTTCTGTGTGGATGCCTGCAAGGCAAATTACAGCTCCTAGTGTGACAAAGGCAAGTCGGATTTCTTTTCTCCAAAGCTGACACTTAACAACCTTCAGGAGAGCACTGTAGCAGAAATGCTGGACTGTGTGCTGAGCGGTGAGTATTTGATGCCATTCTCCCTCTCCTTTATCTCTTCTGATGTTGCTCATTTGGGCAGTAAGCTAACTAATGGATCCTGATGATTAATAGGTTTGGGGGACTGTGTTCACCTCAGCATTACACGTTCCTAAACTGGCTGTGGTTACTGGCTGCATATTGACCAGCATGATTCTACAGAGGATGATCATAATTTGTTTTTACTGATAATGTTGTGTTAATGGATAAAAAGATGCTGTAGTTAGGAACAGTAGCAACCTCATTTACTGAAGAGAAGAAACCTCCCTGTGTTTTCCCCCAAACATACAGCACCTGTATAGTAATTTATGTGTAATTCCCAGCTAACTTCTAGCTAGCCTGTCTGGGCTGTCTTCTTTCAGCCCATAATTGACAATGGAGATTGTGCAATTTGAAATCTTTGTAGAGCTCCAAAAGAAGTAAACATGTTTAAAGACAGAAGTATTGCACTGGGAGGGGGGCATACATGCATGTAAAAATATATTTAGTTGAAGTGAAATGGTTAATGGCTCTTTTGACAGAAGAGGAAACTTCATGATTTAAATGTAATATATTGCTTTGAGATCTCTATGCTTGCTTAATCCTATCTATATTCATAAAGTATTTGCAGCAGGAGAAATGTCGTTGATTTGTTAATTGATATGTAGCTTCAAATCCTCATTACTCTGGGTACAGGGGGGAGGGAAGAGTGACAAGCACATTCATCTTTGTCTTTAAACTCAGCAGCTTCACTCTTAAGTTTCTCGCATGTTATGGAACCTCATTGCTCTCCCTGTTCTGTGCAGTAATTTTTTCTTTCTGAAAGGATAGCAAACATTGCTGAGTCTTGATCTCTATCAGGGAAATATGTGAAGTGTTTAATCTCTTAAAACTATGGCTTTAATTAGGTCTTTGTAGCTGTTGCCTTGCAGTTAATGTAATTATAACAACTTGTGAGTGAGGAAAAGGATATTATTTAGCCCTGGAGCACTTCTTAGTAAAATTGGCTTATTTATTTTCATAAGGAGTTAGAGGAGAAGAAAGATAGTGGGATTTTATTATGTAGTACCAGTTAGATTATTTTTTTTTTTTTTAAGTACTTGATAGTTTTCCCTTCTGCAACAGTGAATGTATGAAAGTAAATAACCCTATCGATAAAGATATTTTAAATACTGATGAGTTAGAATACAGATGAGGATCAAACTGTGTGAAGTGGTATTTTAGGTAATTAAGGTGTTGCTATAGACTGTTGGGCATCCTGTTGGGCAAGGTTTTCTGGTTTGCTGTTTGGATTTTGCTGTGTTTCATGATGTGAAGTAAAACTGTTATTTGGGACAAAATTCTATTCTAATCGATATTAGAGTGGTAGTATTGATTCAACTGTGCTGTATAGCTTTAATTTGTGTTAGAGTGCAGACTTTGCTCCAGTGTAGTTTGAGATAGGCTGAGATAAGCTTATTCTCTGGGTGAAGTTAATCCAGGTCAAAACCTGACATTTAACAGTTCTAAATGAGGGGGAATATAAAGTCAGTAAGTTACTTTCAGTTTAATTTGCCCGTATTAGAAAATAACTGGCATGTATCTGGTTTGGTATCTGCCAAAGAAAACAAGATCCTCTTCTTTTTTTTTTTCTTTTTTTTCTTCTTTTCTTTTTTTTTGTTGTTTTTTGTTTTTTGTTGCTGTTCTGGTGTTTTAATGTGATATTAAAGCCTTCTCTATATGCTTTAAGAAGTTTCCAAATTGGAAATATCTTCATTGCTGAATTTAATAATTCTTAAAAAAAATACAATAAAAGATCATATCCAACTGATCCACCTAAAATGGTGGGCTACTGATCTGGGGAAAAAGTGGTCTGCTCTTCAAAGTTCTTGTCATGCTTCCAGAAATGTTCCTGTTTTCCCTAACAAGCCAAATACAACATTTCCTAAGGAGAGGAGGTCTGCAGTGGATTATAAAAGATGCCGCTAGCTTACATCAGGAATGGAGGTGCCTGGGGTGGCTGTGTCCTTCAGGGAGCTGTAACTGCACCCACTCTTCATCTCAGGTCTTCAGTCATTGTCATTCAGTGCATGGAGATGAGAGAAACCCTGAAGAAATGGTGACCTGAAGTTGCTTATTTATGGAGAGGACCTGAGGAATAACAAGGAACCAGCTTGCCCGTCAGATACCACTGTGATGTCTAGCACCCAGATTGTCAGGGGGACTTTCTGATTCAGAGCTTCTGGTCTTAAGAGCACAATTCAGTCTTTAAAAAATGTGGATTCATATGGTGTGCCAGGCTACCTCATGTTTTCTTTTTAGTTAAAAAATATGATCTGGCTGGGTTATAATAGACTTCATAATATATGATAAGCAACAGAAGGCTAGATCAAGCCATCAATTTTTAAGCAGAAATCTTTTTGCTACCAGTGGAGAATTGCTTAAAAATTGATGGCACAATCTCGTCCACAGTGAACAGGGGACTTCTGCAGAAAAGCCTTGGTTGTACTATTACTCAGTCTTCATGCTGGTGGTAGCAGGGACTCAGAAGCTCAAGGCTAGTCTGCTGGAATAGTCTGATACTTGCTGGAAGACAAAAGGCTTAAAGACTATTTTTTAAAAAAGGAAAAAGTTATAAAACTACCAACCCCTTAGAAAAATTCTAAACCACAGCTGTTTGTCTTTCAGGGAAAGCAACTATATTTCTCTAATGGCATACATAAGTGAAGGACATAATCATTCGCTAAGCGACAGAGAGGCTTCCAAATGCACAGAAATGAAGGTTGTTTCCTTTACTTGTTCATGTTGTGTTGTTGAGGTGTAAATACATTTTACATAAACATTTGCTGCATTAAGTGCTACTAGACTTCATAATTGCAAATTAGAAAACCAGAGTAGGGCCTCAGTGGATATGCTTGGGCAAGTACTTCTAACTGTAAATAAAGACGAAAGGCTCGTGACATGCATCATTATTCTTAATCAAGTGAAACATTCTACTTCACTGAAACCGTACGGTAATTGAAAGCAAAGACAATTCAGCTGGTTGTTATCTCTTAGGAAGAGATGGTCTGGGCTGCTGCTGATGGATGTAGTCCCATGTGAACGTGTTCAAAGCCCGTGGAGGTCGGAGGGCAGACCCCTGTACTTGATCAGGGTGTAGGTGACACGTGGCAGCCTGATTTTTCTCTCATCCGCTCAAAAAAGACAACTGGAGAGGTTGCAGTCATCCAGCCTCCAGGGGAAGCTAGAGGAAAGAAGAGGTGTGAAGTGTTAACCTCTTCAACCTATTAGCTGAATGCTCAGTCACAAAAATGGTTGGGCTGCAGAGTGAAATTAACTCTGCCTACACAGGATTGGACTCCTTATGCTCTCCCAGGCTCATGCAGTGCAGTGCCCCACTAAAACACTAGCTGAGCATGGGAACATCACCTTGATCTTTAAATACCTTATCAGAGACACCAACAAGAGCAAAACCTGTTGGGTTTGTTGGTGTGGTTTGCTCTCTGTCACATTGTAGTCTTACACTGGCCCTTCTTGAAGTAGAAGACACAACAGTAGCCACCCTGGAGTGTTTGGAGCCCAGGGTGTCTGTCCTGGTCACAGGGATGGATGGGCACTGGGGGATCTGAGAAGCTGTGGCTCTCAGGCATGCCATTTTGTCCTTGCCAGCTACGCTTTGCCCAGCGCTGAGACAGGCATGTAGCTGGTCCTCTGCATAAGCACATCCAGCTGCACAGCACATCTATCCTGTACATTGAGGTGTTTCTGTTACAGTCGCAGGTAAAAGTTGACCTGGAAAGGACCGCAGCAGGTCATTTTAGATGAGCCTCTGCCCGAAGTGGAGCATGGTTCAGGATTATGTCAGGGCCATTTTTGGTTGATATATTTTAAAACCTCCAAGAACAGAAGCTGCACAGCCTCCTGGAGTATCTCTGTGGGCTTACCCATTCTCTTGGCATAGAAACTTGGGTTAGCTCTATTTTTTTAAAGCCTTCCATGAGCGAGTGGGACATACCAGTTAGATCCTCATCTCCAGGCTAAACAAGCATGGTTCCAGCAGCCTTGGTGGCCCTCAGCTGGACTCGCACCAGTCTCTCCCGTGTACTGGTAGGCTCAAACCTAGATGCAGAAATCCAGATGTGGCCTCATGAGTGCCACATGGAAGGTGTTTTTGGGAGGACAAGGGTGTTAGCACTATGTCTCTCAGTTTATTCACCTGCCAGTGAAATCTCAATTACCCTTCAGCTTGTGGGGTGGGCATTGTATATCAGTAATCAGCCTCCATAATGCAACTTCCATCAGTCACTGATGTGCAAAAGATGGGGCTGGAAGGAGACCTTGTCTTATACTCAAGCACTGCCACATACTGTGCAGACCTCTCTCCCACACGATGGTGCCCCATCAGTTACACCACTCCTTGCAACTGTCTGGCCTCCACTGTATCCCTGGGCCAGGTACAACCCTCTGGGAAAGGAGTGTGGAGGTTAGCAGGGATGCAGGCACCCTTGGCAGTGCTGTAATGTGCTGCCTCCGAAGGTGGAATTCGAAAACAACCTGCCATAATGAGCCTGGCAGAAGTGGTGGGGAGGAGGGGACTGTCACCCCTTTCCCGGGGAGGCAACGTCCCCTCAGGGTTCGCTCTGGGACAGGGGCTCCTTTTGCACACCTCTGCTGGCTGGAAGGTCATGGGCTGTTTTCCTTGCAGGTCTTGGCCTTTTCCCCTCAGAAATGAACCTGAAATACTGTGCAGCAGCCCTGACACAATTTTCTGCGTATTATCTTCCCATGTTACTAGCAGGCTCTGGCTTGACCTCTTTTAACTCGGTCAGCTTGGAAAAGGGTTGTAGAGCACCATACCAAAGCACTTGCACAGCTGCTCTTGCAGCATTTCTGGCACTTAGAGCCATCAGCAAAATCTGCTGTTTGAACTGCAACTTTCTTTGTCTGCTTTCTAGCCTTGGGGTGATTTTTATTTGTTTATTTAAGTTTAAAGGTAAATTAGTCACTCATATTTGAGCTACCAAAATGTGAAATGAAATTGTCTTTTGTGTGAAAATAATTCATAAATTACAAGCACTCTGTGAGGAGGTTTTAGGTTAATTAGAAAGCTGTAATTAACTGGCTAGATAGAAACAGGATGCAGCCCCCCTTGATTCTCATGCACCCCGTGGTGTGGGAGCCCCACTAGTTCCTTGCTGCCCAGCAAACACCAGCAACCCAACTGCTTGTATTTTTCTCTGGCCTTCCTGAATTTCCTCCTGTGCTCTTTTCTTTGTCTGTGCTGGCAGCTGCAGTGGTGATTGCTCTGTACAATTGTATCGTGCATAACAATAGGGGAATAAACAGATCTCCCTTTAAGAGTCTGCACCAGCAGGTCATGTTTTGTATCTAACTGTACTGTATTCAAAATCTGCTAGATCCAAAATGTCTTTCCCCTAACCCTCACACATCCCAGAGCATAGTCTCTAAATTGCTGGAATATATTTCCAATATAAAGCTTTTTCTGAGAGGTAATCTCTGTTTGTGCACCTCGTATAAAGCCGGTGATTAAGGCATGAAGAAAATGATGGATATTTTGCTTCTCATATTAAGAAACATTGTACTTTCGGGAAAGTAAAAGTGATACTACTTTTCAATTCCAATTATCAAATTGGCACTGAAATACAGAGCCAAGGGCCATTTAGGCTTGAAAAACTTCCAATATTTGCAATACTGAGATCTAATTTTAACCTTTTAATATATAAAATGTTAGCAATAAGCATGGTGAAGTACTTGTTGATTCTGCAAAGCCCAGTAGAAAGCCCAAAGCAAAGGAATGAGTAGGGTTTTGGCTGGGGAGATCCATACAGGTCACCACTGGATATTGAAATAGGGAAACTCCCAGTTCACTGCATGGAAGGAAGTGGAACAGAGCAGCCTGTATTTCTTCTTTACAATAGGGCTAACACTTCCATTGTAAAATTTCTGGGAATGTCCATTACATTTGTTAAATATGGATCTTCTTTCAAACTTGGCTGCTTTCGTAGAACAGCCCAGGCTGGAAAAATGAGAAGACCATGTGATCCAACCTTTCATGGGAAAGGGAGCCTAGATGAGACTGTCTAGCACCCTCTCCAGTCACTTCCTGAAACCGTCCTTTGATGGTGACTCTACAATATCCCTGGAAAAGTTGTTCCAGTGAATTACTGTTCTTCACAAGGAGCCACATGGAGATTAAAAGGGGCAACAGGTAAAAGTTGCACCAGGAGAGGTTTCATCTCAAAATAAGAAAGAAATTAAATCTCTAGCTATGTACATATGCATCAATGTATGGCTTACATTTCAGTGTTGGACAGAAGAATCACCTTACCATATGCAGGTTTAGTTAAGAACCTGGGTTAGAAAGTCTATATTTATTCCAGATCTACTCAGTAAGCCATTTTTAAGCAACAGATCAATCCCTGTAAGCTTTGCAAGCTTGGTAAAGTGAGATGTCTAATGGGAATTGGATCCCTTCCCTTCAGCATGCTCTGTCGTTAATCCTGCCCTTATTACTTGGGATGGGATGATTTTTCCACTCCACTTCTTTTTTCTCAGTCAGTTACAAACTAGGATGATGCAGGGTCCCACATTTTTGTGCACTGTGCATGAACCTTGCTTGGATGGTCTCTGAAGGTGAGACTTTCTTAAAAGAGGGGAGTTTTGGGATGCATGCAGGGGCAGGAAAGCCGGACTAGGACTAAGCAATTCTCTTCTGGGAAATGGTTATTAACTGTGTAGAGACACTGTACATTGCAAAAAGTGGAGTCCTGTTTTTAAGGAAGGGTGGGTAGAAGCAGACAGCAACCCACCCCATTCCCAGCACAGGTAACCCCTTGTGGTAACATGATGGGAAACTGCATGCTTTCTTCATGTGATGGTGCCAGAAGTGCACGTGTACCTAAAAGTTCAAATTGCTGGTGTTCCATGGTGCCTGGTATGAGCTAAAAAGCAGCCAGCTGGGGCTCAGGCAGGGAGCAGGGCACAGCAGCTCTTCAGGGAAGGGGAAAGGAATGATGGTTAAGTTGTGGTTGCAGAAGTGCTTCAGAAGTTAAGGTATGTAGTGATTTTATACATCCTGGCTTCAGCTCAGTGTTCGTGTGAAGTTGCTCCCCACACTGCCACTTCTTCAGGGTGCAGCTTTCAGAGGAGCCCAAGTGACCTTGGACCATGAGCTTTTGGAAAAGGCATCAAACAAAATCATTACAATCTTTCTACTCTTTCAGTTTAAACAATGTTATTCACAGCCTGAAGAATTGTTCTTGTTTGTTTCATCTGTATCTGCTTTAAAGTGTTTGCTTTAAATAGCATTATTTTGGAAGAAGGACGGTTCATGCACTTTCTGTGTCTATTTATGTTTTCTGCATACTACTTCCCGGACTTGTGTGTGGTATTTTAAGCTTGATTACCTCCCACTGTTGATATGTCTGTGCTGTCAACTCTTAAGTTCAGCTGATGCCTGTTGGCTTCATTGGATCTTTCCAAAAGTACGAACTTCGGAGCAACAGGATACAAGGAAAATAAGTGTCTAAAGGAAATAGTGTCAGTATGCTTAGATACACTGTGCTACAAACAAACAGTGAATGTTAAATGTGCAGCACTTTCAGCTACCCTGTCTCATCATATGCTGGAGCTTGGACTCTGTGAATGCTTTCTAACTTGCTCTTTCTATTTTTCCATGCTTCCCTGGATTCAGAGAGAGGTAAATGATTTTCGTTTTTCCATTTTCATGTTTATCCTTCTGACATGCATCAAACAATGTTGTATCAGTTTGCTTGTATTGATCAACAGAAGCTAAACTTCAGTGAGTAAATTCATATGTCTCTGTCATTTTGCTATTAACAGTATTGTCAAGTTGGTATTGCCTGTTGGGTTTTTTTCCAGATCCCAAACCCTCTAGTACTAGAACAGTTTAAAATCATGCAGTGCAGTGAGGCTTGATATTTGCTTCTAGTGTTTGAGTTTAAAATTTAGATGTTGTTGTTCTCTGCAATCTGAAGTGCAAGAAAGTTGTATTAAAATATTGCATTCCCACCTTTTATTTAAAAAATGAAAAAAAAAGTGAAACTGGTGGTTATTTGGGGTTTTTTTGCTGGGGGGGGGGAGACACGACAGTTTGTGGTGGTGTTTGGTTAGTTGGGTTCGGTTGTTTTTCTTACCCCTCCAGCAGGGAATTTCAGAGCTATGTTTAGCAAGAGTTGGAAATGTTTATTTCCTATTTTTGGTATTTGTTTCAGATCCGCCTGGGTTGGTTGCTTGTCTTTTGAGTTCGAAGAAAAGTTGTCCCCAGTATGTTTGATTTGTTTAGATGTACAAAGGAATCGTTTGGGATTCTCTACAATGCTTCCCGTTTCATGGGAGCGCAGACAGTAAGGCATTGTAGTCAGGTGCTTTGCAGCACAAGGGCTGCAGCCACACCAAAGGCTCTTGCTGAGAGAATTGCATCCCTCAGATGAGATTCAGGGTTTGTTTGCTCTTCTAAATTGCAGGGGCTTGAAAGTGGGAGTGGGCAGAAGGAATGTGTTTTAGAGATGTGGACCATTCCTTGCATTTGCTTTGTGGAATATAATGAGAACCGTTTCCAGGCTTCACTGGGTTTTAATCAATTCTTTAGGCAGTGTTGGCCTAGGGAAATGTTTGAACTTTCTAGATTATGGCTTTGCAATCTAATGTAGATTTCATGCATGTGGGAAGCGATGATCCTCTCAGACTAACACTAGCAAAAGTGTGCTGCAAGCAGATTTGTGGGTAATGTCTTTGCACAGTTGCTGTGTTCTCTGTCTGAATAATAAAGAACAAAGGAGAACTAGTCAGCATTGCTTATAAAACAAATCACATTCTAGAGATTAACTGGTCTAGTCTAGTCTGTCTTCTTCAGTTAAATCTGTAGTAGTGCTTTAAGCATCTCAACTCAATGTATTTCTTTATTAAATCTTCAAATATTCCGTATAAACAAAGGCCCACATCTTCCAGTTACATCTGGAAGATTGAAGCATTGTTAAAAATATTAAGTACTTTGTTGTCAAAATGAAATTTATAGGATTTGCTGCAAAGAGCTGTTCAGATGTTCACAGGAATAACAACACACTCATTTACTTAAAGGAAATTCAGCATTCATCAAAAATGCTAGACTGGCCATCCTGAGGAGTTAAACTACCACCACTGTGTGATGCTACAGAGGAGAAGCAGCAACTACAATCGTCTTGAGAACCTACCTCATTTGTGTGCCTTTTCTTTGGAAAGCAGCCCCCTGGCTGTGCACATTTCATAAATGTTGTGAAACATTTGAAACAAAGAACAATCACCATGAAAAGTTTGTAGCGATATAGTCAGTGGTCAGTGGTTTTCACAGGATCTGTCGCAGAAGTTCTGTCTTCCTTTAAGTCCTTTTATAAAACAAGCTGAGGTCTAAGCTGCTGCTTGGCTTTCCAGCTTGTCATGTCTGTCTAGCAGTTGGTGAGCAGCAGTAAGCCTCATCTGACTCCCAGCCACCAGCTGGATGTGGCACACTGTTAGCTGGGACACCTCATGCTGCCATTGCTGTAGGAGCGCAGAGTCCCCACAGCAGTCTTGGTGGTGACCACGGCACATGTGATGGTTTTAAGCGGACTAAGGGAAGATTTAGATCAGATATAAGGAAGAAGTTCTTCCCTGTGAGGGTGGTGAGACACTGGCACAGGGTACCCAGAGAAGCTGTGGCTGCCCTATCCCTGGAAGTGTTCAAGGCCAGGTTGGATGGGGCTTTGAGCAACTTGGTCTAGTGTGAGGTGTCCTTGCCCATGGAAGGGGTTGGAATTAGATGATCTTGAAGGTCGCTTCCAACCCAAACCATTCTATGAATCTACAATAGATTGTCTTCCTTGCCCTGACAGTAGTACTTCAACCATATGATTGTGAGGTGAGGCTGGGAATGAGGACCAGCATGGAACATAAACCTTAATACAATCTGTACTGTTGCCACTATGTTAATATGTCACGGTGTCGCTACGTCACTATGTCTCCAGCTCATGGATCTGGAGAGCTTAGATACTGAATTGTGCTTTGACATGGTTTCACCTACATCAATCAGTGGCCCTTTGCAGGGGTGGAATATAGCCCTTGGTAGTAGAAAGGAAAATGACTTGTAGCATTTCAGAACCATCTTTCTGGCTAGTGAGGCAGCGGTGGCAAGGCTGACAGGAGTCCTGTTCCCTCCCCACAAGAGGAGGTGGTGGGTGGCATTGAAACACGGGAAGTGCATGGGAAACGGCTTCTGCAGCTTCACAAGGATCAGGCTGAGGGAAGGAAATTGGAGTGAAAGTCGTGCAAATGCTTTCACGCTGGGAAGTGCTGGGCTCTGAAGAGCTGTGCTGGGTATCAGACCTATCAGCTCTGTGAGGGTTTTAACACATTTTGGAAGCGCACAGAACTGTGGCAATGATAAGACATCAAAGAAAAACCATCAGGCTTGTGTGTGTTTCAGGGCTGCCAGATTAAAGCCTCGGAGTATCATACAAAGTAGCCATTGCTCCTCCTTGAGAGTTAGCAAGTGACGCTATCAAGGAATGAAGCAAACAGCCTTTCAGCAGGGGATAATTTGCCCTACAAACTTCATGCATGAATTAGAAAAACAAGCTAGCTGTGTCAGTGCCAGCCCATTTTAGAAGAATTTCGTAAATGCAGAACTAATTTTGCTGCAAGGAAGCCTATTTTCAAGTTGTGTGAGGGATGAAATAAGAAAAGTCTTCCAGAAGTCTCTGCTTGGGAAAGCATTTTAACTACTTAGATCAAAAATTAATGACCAGGGTAGCGTAGTGATGCCCAGATCTGCCGTTCTGGGTTGTAGCTGGGGAGCAGCCAAAGAAAGCCAGGAGTTCTGTGGGGTGAAGTGTTTGCAGTGAAGCAATTGCAAGGCTTTTGTATGTTTTTAGGATTGCCAGCAACTGTCAGAGATGTAAGGAGAAGTCATACTCTCCCACACCTCTCCCAGCTCTAATCACTGAGGAGGAGTACTTGTGATTAAATGCACCATGACTACCTGGGAGAAATAGAAAGGAGAAGACTCATGGGAGTAGTTACTTTCTTCCTCCTCCTGCAGGATTTGATTCCAGAGTGGTTGGTATAGTCACCTGGAGAAGGGGCTGTGGGTTTTCTTTGGAGGGTGTGGAAGAGAAGCAATGGTTTGTTTCAGTGTCTGTCTCGTATCTAGTAGGTGAAATGGAAGTTGAAAGGTCCTCACAGTAAATCTTCTACAAACCAGTTTTGCAGCTTGTGTGAATGCTGCTTGATTCATCTAGTTCTAGTTTGTTACCTTCAGGTTTTTCTCCCTAACTTCACAAACTCCTTGGTGTGACCCTAATAAAAAGACAAGTGAACTGAACAGAGTCCCAGGCTTCGTTTCAGCTGTAAATCGTTCCTCTTTCTCCCATGTGAAAGAGCAGACTTACTAAAAAACCCATAAAGTGTTAATCCGGAAGGTCTGTAATTTCTGTCATACACATTACAGCGGGATTTCTGCGCCTCGTCTTCTCAGCTGGTTGTGATATGAGAATATTTGTGTGTCATGGAAAAACCCCATCAGAGCGTGGTCTGATTGGTCTTAAATTATCTGCTTTTCTTCTCATGCATCTTCTCTCTTTCTTTTCTCCTTCTCTGCTGGTGAATGGCAGCCTCCTGCCAGGTGCCTTCTGACCCCTCTCTGCTGTAGCGATGGCTGCTCCCCCCTTTTTTTCTTCCTGCTTTCACAAATCACTGGTCAGCTGTTTGGAAGCCTGAAGGTTATAGACCCGGGAGATGGTTTCCCCACAGCCCAGCAGTGTGTGGTCCGTGACCCTGCAGTAGTCGCAGGAGTCTGTATACCGGTACATTGAAATCAGCAGTCATCTTCTGTAGGCTATTCTGGATGAATTTCAGTCAATTTTAAGCCAAGCCCAGAGGATATCATTTTCTGGTTCAAGGATTCTTGTTACAATTTGTAATACATAAATCTGTAAAGCAATTTACATTTTCCTGCCTATCATTTTAATACAGTTGTTTTGAATAGCAGCAATTTAATTTTGATTGATAAGAGTAAAAAAAAAAAATATTTCAGACTTCAAGGGTAGGGCCTTGGGGTTTTGTTAACTGAAAAAAACCCAAACCAACCACAGCTCTACACTCCTTTGAAGAAATAAGTTCATAGTAATAAGGTAATGGAGACTGTGCTGCTCTTTCAGGCTTAATTGCGATGCCTCCCTAGGACTTCAGCCTAATAGTGGTAAATGGTAATGACTGCTACTCAAACAGGACAACATTAACATAAATTGCATTTAATGTCTTTCTGTTCATCCAAGGTTGAGCAGCTAAATGATGCTTAGCCACGTGTTAAATAGGTATGGCTATCTAAGGTTTAGTCAATTACTGTAGACATTGCCAATTGAGGAGCTTAAAAGAGCAAATAAAAATGAAATTCCTTTCTACTTAGCACCTTACATTGTCTTTGCAGTTCTCTAAATTGCTTTATAAATGCCTGTCTCTGGTCCTCTAATCTTTCAAAATACAGAAATTTCTACTGAATTTTTAACTGTTGAACAGAACCAGCCTCACCCACTTGTCCAGCAAAATAATTCTCTTACTTATTTTTCTGGTTTTCTCACTCTTTTTCAGAGTGATGATTTATATCCAGTTCCTGTAACTGGGAAGATAATTTAATACAAAGACCCAAGCAACCCACTATGCAGTACCTCTTCTCTATAATCCTGTATCAACAGAAGTGGTGTTATAAAGTTTTAAGAATATACAGCTTTTTTCTTCAACAGAGTATCATTGATCAGTATCACTGTTTGTGCGCTGTCAGAATGGAGAAGGATGGTTTGTGTGCTAATTTTGATTGATGATTTGAATACAGATGGTGTTGGTAGGGTTATGCATGATGCAGTACCACAGATTTTGAAGAACTCAGATTTCCAGCTCTGTCTTGTCAGATTTACAGATGCAGGCCCTGATCATCTAAAGGTTTATGTATACTTACAATCCATGCATGTAATTAGCTGATTTACTTTGTTCAAGCTGTTCAGGTACTTGTAAGATGAAACACTGCTGTGTGAGTCTGAAACACCACCACAAGGGTTTTATTAGCTCTCAGTAGTTGAAACTGATGTACTGCCTGGTGTTTCGTGTTCTCCTGTAATTGTGTGGTGTACCGCCTTGTTTATGAATACATACCATTACAAGCAGAAGTATTTACAGAAGCTGCAGTGCCAGGTGCTGGAGAGGCTGACTTAGTGTTACGTGCACCACTGCAGTACTGAGGCAGCACTTGCTTGAGCCCAGGCATGGGCCAGGTGCCCTGGCAGCACCTTCCCGGCACTCCCCAACACCCTCACAGGAAGGAGGTAGTGGTTTTGGCACTTCTTCAAGGTGACTCAACACAAGTGGAATTTCACAGGACAAAAATGAGACATCTCATGCAGCATCAGGGGCTTTCCAGAATACACACCCAGAGAGAGACTTGCTGCAAGCAGCAGAGGTATCAATGTTTCTTCAAGAAGAACCCCCGGTATCAATACCAGCTGGGGACGGAGGCATTGAGAACAGCCCTGCAGAGGACTTGGGGGTACTGGTGGAGGAAAAAATGGACATGACCTGGCAGTGTGCGCTCACAGCCCAGAAAGCCAGTCCTGTCCTGAGCTGCATCGAAAAGAATGGGACCAGCAGGTCAAGGGAGGCGATCCTGCCCCCCTACTCTGCTCTAGTGAGACCCCACCTGGAGTACTGTGTGCAGTTCTGGGACCCCCAACACAAGAAGGACATGGAGCTGTTGGAGCAAGTCCAGAGAAGGCCATGAAGATGCTCAGAGGGCTGGAGACCCTCTCCTATGAGGAAAGACTGAGAGAGTTGGGGTAGTTCAGCCTGGAGAAGAGAAGGCTCCAGGAAGACCTTATTAGCAGCCTTCCAGTACTTAAAGGGACTTAGAAGAAAGATGGGGACACGTTTTTAAGTAGGACCTGTTGTGACAGGACAAGGGATAATGGTTTTAAACTAAAGGAGGGTAGATTCAGACTAGCTGCAAGGAAGGAATTTTTTACAATGAGGTGGTGGAATGCTGGAACAGGTTGCACAGAGAGGTTGTGGATGCCTCATCCCTGGAAATATTTAACGTCAGGTTGGACAGGGCTCTGAGCAACCTGATTTAGTGGAAGATGCTCTTGCTCAGCGCAGAGGAGTTGCACTAGATGATCTTTAAAGGTCCCTTCCCAACCAAACGTTTAAAAAAAAATTGTTCAGCAGTCTGTGGAGGAGAGCATGAGGTGGCCTGTACATAGGGCTCTACCAGCTCTGTCAGAAAATCAACACATTGCATTTTGACTAAAAACCTTTGTAGGCAGTATCTGCCCTTTGGCAGAAAAATGCTAATAAATAGCCATGTAATGGTCACATTGATAGCTTTCAGTGCAAACACAGGTTTCAGCTCTTACGTCTGCACTCCAAAAGAACAGACCTTGATCCAGTAATACAGTTTGTGCAGCATTCTGTTTGTTTATGCATCTTTGCTACCCTGCATCTTTGCTACCCTGCAGTGATAGCCACTGCCAGCAAGTTTTTCTTGCATGTAAAGGAGAAGAGAGAAATCTTAATGAAGCTATGGTAGGAAATCCATGTCTGTTAGATGAACTATGTTTTCATATTGCAGTTAGAACATTTGTAAGGGAAGGTATTTGGACTCCAAAATGTGAAATCTGAAACTTAGGGCATTTAAAAGATGGCAGCTAAACCCAAACACAGAGAAAACAGAACTCCTAAATGCTTAGGATGTCTGGAAATCTCTCACTTACTGCTCTCAAACCAGGCAAGGTCTCTTCAGAGCTCAGGATATTCTATGTGGGACTTCTGTGAGCCTGGCATTTTGAAAAACCTGCTTAGCTTACTTCAAAAGGCAGAAATCTCAAAGGTTTTTTATGTGGCACTTAGTTTCACTTTTTTCCCCATAGCTGCTAATTTTTCAGCTTATAGGCCATAGCTGAGCCATACCCCCTTCTCTTAGTCTTATTACTAGAGTCTAGCTGGGAGTCTGTAATTTGCTTTTGAAACATTAAGCTAGGAGAAACCCTTTCTAAAGCACGGCTTGGTACGTGTACAGATGAGCCAAAAAACATCATCTGTTTTCCAGGAGCAAGATTCCAGCTGGAACTCAGCATCTCATGAAATTGCAGTGCAGCAAAAGGGAACAACATGCCAAAAGGCTCTTGCAGATTGTGGCTGAGGTGCTTGGGGTGTGCTTCACTATGTTTCTGCATGGTTCTGTCATGTGGAATTGTTTCCAAATCTCAGCTCCTGATAGTTTTTTGGGTGTTTAAGTACTATTCACCAGGCTTCAGGTTGCAAAGCAGTTAAACAGAGGAACCTGTACCTGTCACTGAGCAGCCTGGGCTGTGGGCAACTGCCCTTTTCATTGCAAGGGCTCATTAATGACAAAACCTAGTGCTGCTGAATTAGGTACAGGTAAGGTACTTAACTGCAGGCCAATGTTCATATCTCATACAGAGCTGGAAGTCTGGCTACCCATCTGCCACACTCTCTGGTTCTCCCTGGATAACTTCAGTACAAAATTCTTCAATTCACTGGGCATCTATGATGAACAAAGAAATTGGCAATCCATGCTACATTAAACCCTGCTACAGACTTTAGTATAAACTGAAGTATTCCCATATATAAAACCTGTGGCTTAGGAATATCTGTCCTATCTCTTCACCAGTTAGAATGTTGCTGCCAAGAACAGGAAAGAGGAAAGACACTGAAAAAAGACTTCAGGTATAAAGGGCTGTTGGGAGCTCCAGCCTCTCTTCTCTGGTCTAATTCTAGTTAGCTACTCGGTATAGGCATGCAAAGTCCCAGAGAAATCTGGAGATAGCAGAAGGGTCTTAAAGTAGGACTGGGCTGTGGTTGCTTGGAGGACATGAAGAAGCAGAGGTGCAAGATCATGGAGCAGAGCCAAATGTAGCAAGGGTAGCAACCAGACAAAGCCAAGCTTATTCCCGACTCAGTATATACCACTTGGGCTTTGTCAGAAGAGCTCCAATTCTTAAATAGCCTGAGGACAAATAAACATAATCCTGGCACTTCTGTCGCTCTTGCTAGAAAGCTGTGCTGTGCTGTGGTGACCAGCTAGTGCAGGGCAAAAATCTCTTTTGTAGGGCAGCTTTATTTAACTTGAAAAAAATAAGGTCAGAAATTTAGGCCAATTAGTGTGAGCAGAGCTCAGCAGGTTCACATTTCCTTTACGCAACCACATCTCTAATTAACTATCTGCATATTTTAAACACTTTCTATAGTCCTTTGAAACATGTTTTTTTTCTCTAACTAGAATCTTGTATGCCGTTTCTCAGGTTTTTTAGCATTTAAGAGCTGCATGTGTTTTCTGTCTTCATTTGTAATTCTCTTCCCCACTTCATCTTCAGTAAAATACCTGAGTAATTTTTCCCATGCATTTCCAATTGCAGTTAGAATTATGGGTTGGCATTTGCCCAGGTTAGGAAACTATAATGAGCTCTTTAATGATACACATTAAGCACCAAACTTCAGATACGTGTTTCATGGGTATGCAGCTTATTACATTTGTGGATTTGCTTTGTCAAAAGCATGTGTTTTATTCTTTGACAGCCTTCTGTTAAATTGAAGTAGGACTTGTTGTTTTGGAGATACTACTGATTCTAATGCCTTAATTTGTTTCTCATGTGTCTGTTTATTTTGTTTACACAGAGACTTTGCGTATGTGGCAAGAGACAAAGACACAAGGATTCTGAAATGTCATGTATTTCGATGTGACACACCGGCAAAAGCCATTGCCACAAGTTTACACGAAATCTGTTCCAAGGCAAGTGGATTTAAAGTCACATGCATTCCTCTGTTTAGAGGTCACTGAGCCTGATGTATACAATCAGCAATTGTACACATTGTTAGTTTAGTTTACATCAAAGGCAACGAGAAACAGTGTAGAGAATTTGTAAAGGAAAGGATGTGAATGCATGGAATAATGGGGGTGGGGGTTGTGAGCATTGAGATTTGAGGAGCATGAGATATGCTTTTGATTTGATGTGTGTATGGAGACCGAAGGTTTTCTCGGATAATAAAGAAGCTGTGGATTCAAAAGGGAAAAAGAACACACAGCTTTAATTAATAATAAATGGTGATGTTAAACTCTGTAAATAAATCAGGTCTTGTTTGAACGCTATTATTCAGTGGTATTGTCCTGCAGGACAGACAGGAAAAGAGTTGCTAATATAAGTCTGCCCACTTAAAAAAAAGGTGGGGAGGGAGAGAAGAGAGAGTTTAAGATTCTCTAGTTACAAATAGTAAAGGATCTTAGCTCCTGCTTGTGCTAATGTTGTCTGTTATACTGGAGAGGACTGTTCAGTCATTTTTGTCTTACAGACTTGCCGCCATTCCCTGGTTATTAATTTTCATCTTCTTGCATGATCAGTGCACGAGTGACCTCTGCATGGTCATTTCATGCAGCTGTAGCAAGGCAGCACGTCCTTTACAGCAGGCAAATCTGATTGAAACTCTTTGTAGAGAGGCAGTTAAACCAATCTACTTGAACCTCTTTCTTTATTCATTTATTGAGCTGTGGTGCATGCGTGGCGGCATTCCCGTTTTAAAAAATGCCATGCTGCTCATTTTGGTTTCCCTGAAAACATGTCAGTTTGCAATCCAGGCGAAGTAGGCTGTGGGGATGAATAACCTTATCAGTTACCTGGTGTGACTTGTCCCTCCTCATGAGTCATGGCTCTTTTTAAAAAGCTTGTTAGGAAACCTTTGGGGTTTAAAGTTCTGCTCATTTACTGTATGCCTGTCATTTGCTTTTTACATTTTGACTTCACGGTAATGAACAGAATCAGTGATGTCAGATTCCCCTTTGCAGCCAGTTGTATAGAGTAAACGTTTTTGCAATGCTGCAGCCGTGGCTACTGAACTTGAGATGCTTCATGCGAACAATGTGAGCATTTACCCCGTGCGTTACTGTAACCTCCTGGGCAGCAGAGTTTTGCCTGAGGCAGAAGGTAGCCCAGCAACTGTGCAGAGCCTGCCGGGTCTGTCCAGGCTTGGGTGCCTGAGGAGATGCAGGTGGCAGGACAAAGGGAGCCGCTCACGGTGGCCAAGGAGCTGCAGGCTGTGTCTGGTGAAGGTTAACACCAGGAGCTGCAGCAGTGACTGGCTGGAGAAGCCTAGACCTGTTATGTCCCTCCTTTTTCTCCTACAGCTCCCAATTCTCACACTTTGCCAGCAAAGGAAAAACATGCTACACAAGCCCTATCACAGCTGCTTTTATCCAGTAAGGTCAACACCAAGTAGATGCCATGGTAGCTATACTCATGGGTATCAGAAGGGGAGCAGAACTGTCACATATGTAACTATAACATGAAACTCCTGGCAGTTAATTTTGGGTTAGAAAGCAACTAAGCATTTAAAATCGTAACTAAAGTAACACAGATAAAATAGAATAGTGTTGTTAAGTAGAGCGCGTTCCTTCATAATTCAGCAATAGATGTAATCCTGATTCAGAGAAGCACTTGGCATGTGCTGACTGACATACTGAACCTCTTGGCTGAGTCAGGGCTCCTTCCTAAGCTAGTGTGTGTTATTTTTCATCTGTGGGGGGAATATTATTATGTGTCCCTGAAACAGAAAATACTTTCAAAATATGAAACCTAAAAGAAAAGGGTGTGTGGGTGTGTGAGTGTGTGTGTAATTTACTAGGAGCATCTTCAGACCAAGTGACATCTGCTGGAACACCAGTTATCTTTCTAGTTTAATTACAATTAACAGTCATAGCATAAAGAAGCACATAGCAAAGCTTCATGTGTGAGCTTTGGAAAACCTCTATTAGCCTCCCTGGGTCCCTTTTCAGACATATATTTGTGGGGAATAATCATCCAAAGTGGTTATTATGAAGTGTTTCATTGGTGTATTTTTTTCTCTTTTGCTAATATTCTACATTTTGGGGGAAGAACAGGTTGTGATTGCATGGGATTTTTAATTCCAGAAGAAATCATAAAAATGGAGGGAGAAATTACTCAGAGCATTAGACAGATCAGAGAGGAACATGAATAATGAACACTCTTTGTGTGTGTTAAATATTTATATTTTTGCTATATTGCTGCTCACTGTAATTTTGCTGTTGATAAAAATGGCTGGAGGTTTTTTCCCTTCTCCATCGATCTTTCATGTAGGCTTGGGCACCACTTACATTCTTACTACAGTTAAGGAATGGTGAATAAACTGGAGGAAAATTAAAGTTGTTATTTAGAAAGAATAACCTGTTTAGTCATGTGGCTTCTGACTTCAGATTTCAGAAATGAGGGCTGTAATAGGAGTAAGTTTATACCTGTAGATGCTACTGTACTATGTTAAAAAAACAATAAATGCTGTATTATCACTGTCATCTTCAGATAATGGCCGAACGGAAGAATGCTAAAGCCATGGCTTGCGGCTCATTGCAAGGGGGAACAAATATCAACCTTGATGTTCCTCTGCAAGGTATCGTGTGTTACAGCTCATATCCTCAGGGTGGGCTTGTGTTAGATATGTTTCTGATGCTGCTTCTGACCAAAATGGAGCAGGTTGGATGCAGAAGTCCGGAGTAATCCTATCTTTTAATTACTGCATCTGACTGTAACCTCTTACTGTGTGACGTTAAGCATTTTTATTGGCTGTGTTGGCAGTAATGCAGTCCTGCTCAGCTATGGCAACTTGTGCGTTTCCTCTTTTATTTTGAAATGCAAATGTGGCAAATACAGCCTTACTTATTAGTGGCTACTTGTACGTATTGTCCTTTTCAAATCAAAATACGTCCTGACTTGAGACTGCAGAAATTGGCCAAATCTTCCTTAAAAACACAGTATACTCCAGGTCATCACTTGGATTCAGAGAAGCTGTAGGAGCACTCTTCCTAGGTTTCAGCATCTATTTCAGCAGTTTCCAAGGCAAGGGGTACAAGTGGATTGTCATCCAACTTAAGGGTCTTTTGTCATCCAACTTAAGGATCTTCTGCACACTCTAGTGCATGGCCAAAGAAAGTTACTGTTGCAAGCCTTTATTAGTCATTGCTTAATAGTTGCTATTCGGAAAGTATTCCAGGAGAACAAACACACTTTGTGTTAGCTTTGCAGGAAATTACATGCTTCTAGATCCACCAGTTTATACTGAATATCTTACTCCTAATCCATACATCAACTTGTGTAATTGTCTGCTCAGACAGTACTATTGATTACTTGAGGACTCTGTTTAACATATTAACAAGGATGGCATTTAAAACACATTCCAGATACTGCACAGTTATGCAGTGAATCTTAGGTCTGTTCGTCTCAGAGACACATTCATCTCTCTTTTCTGGGGTTTAATATGCCAGCAATATAACATGACCTTGTTCTTAACATAGGTCAAGAATTAGGTGGTGCAAAGTTGTCCATAATTCCTTTAGAAATTATTGACCATTGTTCTTGTCAGAAGGAGTAAAAAGTAGTTGCAATCAATACAATATCTTTAGCATAATTACTGGGTAAACTGTTTCATGTTGTTGATGAAATAAAAATGGTTTTCCCTGCTGTGAATGCTGATTAACAGAAATTGATTTTTGTTCCCATGCAGTAGATTTCCCAACACCAAAGACAGAACTGGTACAGAAGTTCCACGTCCAGTACCTGGGCATGCTGCCTGTAGCTAAACCTGTGGGTAGGTGACACTTGAGTGAATTCCAAAATACCTCACATGTTACTTAGTAATTCTAATGGCTGGACTCTTGGCCAGCCAAGTGTAAATACCTGGTTTCGAAGGGTAGCAACTCTTGTGTTTCAGCCATACAGGCCATGTTCAGGGCCTCATTTGAACATGTATTTTGCAACCAGAGTATTTTGGGAGCTGCAAAGAAGGCGAAGTTCTTTTCTACTGCTTTCTCTGCTACTAATGAGAAGGGCCGTAGAGAACTGGAACTGTGCAGCAGCTAAACATGATGCTATCCTGTTTTTAACTAAGCCAGAGGCACCTGTTTTGTTTTTGCAGACTAAGAAAACCAACTTTACAACCCTTCTTTCCATTATCAAATTAAGTTTAATAAGGAATCGAAAACAATGTTTTCTGTACTGCTATGTGTAAATGAAAATGTTGTTGTTGCTGCTTACTTATACTCATGTATTTATTTTTCACTATTGCATTTTCTTCTCTTTTAGGAATGGATACTCTGAACAGTGCCATTGAAAGTCTAATGACTTCCTCTAGCAAAGAAGACTGGATGCCAGTTACTATGAATGTTGCTGATGCTACTGTCACAGTCATCAGTGAAAGAGTAAGGCAAACTGTCTTGTTCAAAACTCATTTAACTTAACAATATGAGTGTTGGAAACCAGGAACACAGGAACACTAGTAGAGGGAATTAATTTATGCTAGAATTCATTTGCTTATTTTGCATTTTTTTTCTTTCCAGAACCTGCAGAGGCTCTTACTGCTTGTTTCAGCTTCAGCTTGGTTTAGTATTCCAAGCATGTTCTCAAAAATAAATTATTACAAGTATGCATTAGATACTTAAATTCAGTGTTATCCTTTCTCAAAATGTTGAGCCTAAAATGTTGTAGGTTAAGCCCTTAGTAGCAATCCTAAATTCTAAAATGTGTTTACCTTTTTCTTGGTATGGGAGCCAAGAGTAATATTAAAATCTGTGTTTCACGTTGCTGTCCTTTGTAAAGCATTTTCCATTGAGATTAATATGTTGAAACTTCCAAAGAATGTCTTTTATTTATGTCTGTTGATCAGGTACTAAACCAACACCTCTACAACATGGCAGTGATAGGGGAGCATCTTTTTGAGTCATGGTAGCCATGTTGTTTTGTTGCTTCACAAAACAAGGAGTTTTTAAAGTACACAGTATGCTCAGTGCTAATGCTCAAAGCCTTGGTCTTCTGGTGGTAGAAGGGGAGATCCAGCCCAGGCCTGAGCACACTGGGTACATGCAGATAGATAAAAAGGAGTGTCCCCACCTGTTTAATCAACATAAGGCTGGCAGTGAAGTTCACAGAGTATCCAATAGTCATGATCAATCATTTGATTCATAACCAGAATGAAGAGGAGATCATGGTGGAGTGTCGTGTGCGGTTCCTGTCCTTCATGGGGGTAGGCAAGGACATTCACACGTTCGCCTTCATTATGGATACAGGAAACCAGCATTTTGAGTGCCACGTTTTTTGGTGTGAACCAAATGCAGGCAATGTGTCAGAAGCTGTTCAGGCTGCTTGTATGGTAAGTGACCTTCTGCAAGGGCACCTCAGAGCACTTAGATTTTTCACTGCCTCCATAAATAATCAGCTTTCCAAATTTGCAGTTACATCGATTTCAAGACAGAGAACAAACAGATAAAAATAGGAATTGGGATTCTGATATATTTCATCAGTTAAAACCCAAACATTTTTAAGTTTGAAGTGTCAGTTTAGTGAACAGTGCTCCTTTAATCATCTTCCCTCCTAACCTCTGCAACATGTGCATAAGTGAGAAATCTTTTCTTTCACTACACAGTTATCTAATGCTGGAAGAACATTTTATCTGTAGTTGTGTTATACAATCCAGCAACAATGTAGTAAAAATAATTCTTGTTCAAGAATAGCTGAACCCAGAAAACTTATTTTTGAGGGCTGTTTCTATGACTTAGAATCCATTGTGTGCTAAGGAACACATTCTGCCCACAGATTGATAGAGTAGTGTCCCATTAACTTTTTTAACTTGTTTGTCACAGCCAGAGTGGAGATTTGACTACATATAATGAGGAAGTGTAAGAGTGTGTTTTAAATGCTGTGTGAAAGTATTGGATGCAGTAAGCACTGCAGAATGCTTCTGCTTTGTTGCAGTTGCGGTATCAGAAGTGCTTAGTAGCCAGACCTCCCTCACAGAAAGTGCGACCACCCCCACCTCCTGCAGACTCGGTGACCAGAAGAGTTACAACCAACGTAAAACGAGGAGTGTTGTCCCTCATTGACACTTTGAAACAGAAACGCCCGGTCACTGAGATGCCATAGCTGTGCCAGAGAGAAGAGCCTCCTATCTGTTAGCTGAAGACAACACTAGCTACACTAAGGAAAGTGAACTGACAATGTCTGGCCTTCCATTTCAAATTGCTGATGCTTTGTCTTCAGAGAATTTACCCTTATTGAAGCAATGTTAGACAAGCATGTTCTCGTTCTTGCCACCATCGTGTGATAATGAAAAGAAGCATGAATAATTTTTTTGCTGTCAGTGAGTTACACCATGAACAATGGAAGGTCTGTTTGATTGTAAATACATGAACGTTACTTACACTCACACAAAAACAAGAATATGGCCACGTCCCTCCCAGTGAACTCACGCTAAAGTCCTTGGAGTGAATGATGCCTAAATTGCTAGTTTCACCATCTTGAGCTGAATTTGTCACAAATCAATCTTAACTCCTACAGCACCTTGCTCTGTTTTCAACACTGGAGTAGGTACCAAGTGTTAGCTACCATTGCATTACTGTAGATTAAATGCCAAGTTTTATTTTTTACAGAACTACACCTGTTAGTTTTAAATTGTTTGTCAGCTTTGGTCTAGCAACCACTTTAATAACTCCCCGACATGCTTCTGAATCATGGCGTCATTATTTCATCTCCCAGTTATACATTATGGTCTTAGAGAAGAATTGTGCTTAATACTAAAGCAATGCTGAAAAATCCAGAAGAGGTTTCAGTAACTGAGTTGCAGGGTGATCTACTGAAGCTTTTCAGCTTTAAACATACAAATGCAACCATTGGCTGTTAAATTTATTCTCCTAACTCTGCCATTAATTCATCACAAACACCGTAAGTTTCATACAGGGCTCAAACCAATCAGGAGTAAGAAAAAAATAGTCCGTAATTTTATTGTCTTACAACTCTTACAGAGACTAAACTATTCCAACCCTTTTCCCATACAAGTGTTTGATGAGATGTTCAATTCAGTGTCTGGTTGCACAGTTCCCCTTCCCCTCACAGTTTGTTGTTGAATACTGAACACACCCCAAAAAGATCAGTTGTGTTTCTGTCAATTACAAAATTCAGTGAAATTTCTTTTTACTTTTAATGCTCTTGTGACAAAAGAAGAAGAGAATTGTTTTCTAACCAGATAGTGCTTCAGGTGGTACACACAACTTGATCTCCATGCTTTTGCTCCAGAGGCTGCTTCTGATTGCTTTGACTTACACCCTACTGCAGGCCCTGACAAAGCCACCCCTTAAAATTATACCTCAGAATGATGTTCAAATGCAGTCACACATCCTGAGTCTCTCCCTTTACCATTTTCTGTCTCGACCTGCAGATTGGTACAGATTTTGGAAATGGAACAGTAAAGATATTTTTAACTAGCATTAAAACTGTTTTGCCTCCATCTAGAGAGATGTTCCAGACTGTAACTGCCTCCCAGGTCTGCAAATCTGGTCATACCACACTGTAATTTTAAAAGAACCTTGTCAAGGTTGTTTGTAATTACAAGAATTCTTTTTTTATTTTACTATGCAAGAAACTGATATAAAATAACATTTTATTTCCTTGTTTAAAAAAACTAACAGCAACAACTGGGCAAAGCAACTTAGGAGCACAAGGGGGAAAGAATGATGACTCAAGAAATTTCTGCATTGAAAAATGCAGAAAAATCATTAAGCGAAGCTCAGCATGATGTATGAGCACGTGTCAGCTAAGGCTATGCAACTGTGCTAATTACATTTAGCTCTCTAAAACACCCCCTGAAGAGCTGATCTCCACCATCTCTCATCTCTTTATGAGCGTGATTCTGCACCCCCGGCACTGAAGCAGTTGTTTCCCTGCCCAAGGCTCCCATTGCCTCTATCCCCTCCACACTGGCTCTACTTACTGCTGGTGCAGCTGGGGGGAGGATCATCTGTGTATGCCACGCAGGGAGAGCTGAGGTGAGGGGATGCCAACAACCCCCTTTCAGCAGTGCCAGAGGTTTAAACTGACCATGAGGCCAGGTCGTGAAGCATAGAGATGGCAGCTTACACAAATGCTTGTTCAGTTTCTAGTGTTGATCCCAGTGACGCCTACTGGGAGCAGGGTAAAAACTCACTTCCTGGCATGTCCAGATGTGCTGTTGAACACCATACCTCTAGGTAGGACCATGAAGTTGAGAGGTAAAACTTCCTTTATTTATCATTGTGACGGTAATTCAAACTTTTTCTTTAGTTTATTTTAAAGTACAGAAAATAATTCGACAGAGTCCTTTTAAAATTCCAGCCAGGATTTGGGATTTGCAACTGTTCTACACCAGTGAATTTTAAACCATATAATTAAACTCTAGTTGCATCTGCACCGAGCTGATTCTCCCCAGCTGAGATACAGACTGTCTTTAAACAAAACCAACACTTAGAAAGCGCAATGTACAGGTGGTTCTGCATTGGGGTTGTCAAGGCTGCTATCATCCCATTGCCTTTCACTGGCGAAGGGTGCGGAAGCAGGAAGGGCTGAGGAGGAGGCAGAAGGGCATTTGAAAAGCTGTAGGTCACCTGCCAATGTATGTTTTGAGTTTTGTGTCTGTTAACAAAACGTTGTTGATTTTGCCAACACTTCAGTCGCATGCTTAACCGTCTGGCTGTATGTGGCCTTTTTGCTTCAGCAGAGCTCCATACTCTCCAACAGATTAAATACACACCCAGGTGTTCGCAGAACCAGCCTAACACTGCAAAGCCCCTTATCTTTTGTCAAACAATATAGTACAACACTCTTTACCATGGCCAAAAAAGTATGCCTGGGGTGCGCATGTTTGAGCAGCTGCCGCTGATTCAGTTGATGTTGCAGCGACCCTTCAGTTATCTATGCATTTTTTATAATCCTTAGTGGTTCCGTAGGCCAGCAGCCGTGTTCACTATGCCTTGTATGTCCGATGCCATATTCTAAATTAACCTGTTAAATACAGCTTAAAATATTTTTATTTTATTTATTCTATTTTTACTGGAATACCCTGCATTGTTATGTTGATGTATTGTCTTTACTGGACGTGCTCTTGTAACATTCTCCACTCTGTATACTATAGGTTGCCTAAAAAAGGCAGGCTTTGTAATTATTTGTAGTCACATTTTTATTGAAGTCTGTAGAAAAATCATGTAAAGCAAAGCTAATTTCTTCATTTTTTTCAATGCAAGTAGTAAGTTAGAGGTAAGTATCACATGTCAGTCATGTCATGACGAGCTCCCTTGCAGAAGCAAGGGGATGCATCTTCACAGTCAACGACTAAAAGTCATTCTTCTGAAATCCACAGTGCTGGCTGTAGGTTTTATTTAAGCCCCCTACTGTTCTGTTTGAAGGGCGTGTGGGAGACATAAGGCTGCAGAGGCCGCCTGCAGCAGGGTGGAACAGGAATAGCAAAAACTTTCATGGAAGGGGACAGAATCCACTCTCAGTAGAATGAGGGTTTTGTAAGGTACCTGGTGGGCAGAGTCGCCTGTACCCACAGAAGTAATACGCCCCTCCATGACAGAGGACCAAATGCTATGGAGTATCCCAATACCTTACACCAGTTCTGTGTCACTAAAAGTTCTACATCCCTTTTAATTTTACCAAGCATTTCATAGATCATTTAACTAGGGATCTAAAACTGTCGTAAGTCACCCATGGCAAAGAGAACTTCCTTATTTCAACAGCTAGTAGGGGCTCAGCCTTTCAGCATTACCATTAACCCAGCACTCCTTTCTTGGACAGGTTCATCAATACATTGCTAAAACTTGTGCTGTACAGTCAGTGAAAGCAGGTTTGGTTTATTTTAACAATGGTAAAGAAGAAAACGCACCCATTGTTTATTAGCAGAGCTCAGTCTTACGTAAAGCACTTGACTGACAGCAAAAAGGACTATTTTCCCTGCTGTTGCCCACTTCTCCACATCTAAATGTAATCTGTTCTGAGAATAAATTTAGCTGCATAAAACAATGGTCTCAACTGTTACTGGTTCCAAATTGTGGTTGAGGGGAGGGAAAAACACACCAGTGGTTTAGAGGCAGTGGCGGAGCAATGGACACTTTTGTCTCTGGAAAGCTGAATCAACAGTTTCTAGTTTAAAATAACAAATACACAATTGGATTACAGAATAATAGTGATGCAAGATACAGTTTAGCTGTAAAAAGTCATCGAGTATTTAACTGAGCATAGAAGCTTCTGCCTACAAGCCATCTCACATCAGGACCAGACATTGGCCCTGTGTGATGTTCGGTGCTTGCAAAGCAAGCTGCTTACCTGCAGAGTCAAAATCTCCACTGCCCCGCTCAGATCTTCTTGACGACATCAAGATACTCAGGGCTTCAGCCTCTGGGACATTTCAAAGATGTAAACTCGTGGTTGCAAGAGGAGGCCAAGTGGGGGATGTCACGACGCGTATTACGTAAGTAGCCCAGAAACTCTGTCTTCAGACACATGTATGTTCTTTTACAAGTAATTTCAATCCTTTTTAATAACAAACGATACAGGTTCCGATTAAAAAAAAAACCATAGTTTTGTTCTCTTAAGTGCAGAGTGTCTAAGTATATTTTAAGCATTTAACAACCATATTGAAAAAAATAAACCAAAATCTTGCTGCCCATTCCTGTTATCCAACATGCAGAATCTCTCCTCCTCTAAGATGGTTAGTTGTTCGGAAACAAGAGCAGGATTCATCCTTTTACTGGAACAGGTAAAGAGCACAGGTATACTCACAGGGATATGCAGCAGGTGATGGATGCCTCTGAATAGGACAGCTAGCTCAGATTAAAATGCTAAAAGAAATTTTCACTGGTTTGGCAATGCAGAGATATGTATCTGAGGAGCAAGAGGCAGCTGTTACGCTGCTGGTATAGTGTCATTCACATTCTTTCCTCTGAAGGTAGAGCTGATCCAGCTACATTGACTGGTGTGGATGAGGGAGAAAAATAGAGATGTTAAAACATTTTCTCTGGATGTGTATAAATCCAGACTCGTATGTCACACAGGTTAAGATTCCATGCCGCAGCGCTGACACTACCGGCAATACTTCCACCAACTATCTTAAGTGATTGCCTAGAGGAACATTTCTTTTCTGGGCTACAGCAACTTCTGCCCTTCTATATTGCTCTGCTGTCTTTGTTTCATTTCTACACTTCTAAATACAATTCCTGAGGTTCCTCTTACTGTCATTCCATCATTGATTGTCATTTTCCTTCTTTATACTGTCCATGTTTAATACTAAATCATATTATAGTTAAAACTATCTCTGTGTGTCCCTTTTATCCCCTGCTCAGATTATAAGACAATTGTAAGTATTTCACAGGTATTTTATATTTGCTAGCAAAAGGGAGCAGGTTAGAAGCTCACAGCTGTTTTCAAAGCCACTCTGTGTTGTCATTATTCAGCTGG